AGAGGGGAATCCTACATACCTGTTGCTGCTCCACCTCCAGTTAGTGGACGTGGCCGTTACAGAGCGCGACCCACAGCTGCACCAACAGGACAACCTCAGGAGGAGAAGGAAGAGCAGCCAGACCATGGCGGATGTATCCATGCTTCTGAGACAATGGTACGATCGTTAGCGTTTCTTGCTAATGATTATGAGCAAGTACAAAGGATATGAATTAATTTTTGTTCATTTATTAAGTACATTACTTTAACTTTGATTTTAAAATTGGAGTAGATCGAAATAATTGTCACATGCACATCTTATGCATGTGATATTGATTAAATGAATGCTTACCTAGGGACCGGCCAAACTACAAAGTTTATAAACACTAACCCGAATGGAAAGCACATCTACTACTCAACTTATTCATAGGTTCATTCTGTTTATAACAGCACCATTTCATGGCCCCACTTTTCTCTAGAGGCTTAAACTTAAAGCTTGTTTATACCAAAGTGTAACATGGCCACTAATTACAGTCTATCTTTAAGTTTACAATTGCATTGCTAAATGACACATTTTGTAGTCTAAAAGTCTAAAATTACATTGACTTGCTGATACTGAAATACACCTTAAACCCAGATCATCTATTAGACTTAATACATTTCTAAAGGTTTTAAAAATGACTGGCTGGTAAATCAGAGTTCACCAAACCACCTCCTAGAAACCGGCTTCTTGCCGAGTTAAGTTCAAAGCCTAGTTTAACATGCCAGATCCAGCTGACCAGCGTTTTCTGAAGGTGTCATGCACATTGTATATTCGGACTGTGTAAAAGGTAGATCTCTGGGAGACCTCTCTTTTTTTTTGTTTGACTTCTTTTTCTTCCTCCATAGGGTGTGCTGTGTCCTACAGGCTGTGAACTGAAAACAACTTTGCTGAAGCAGGAACGTAACGTTAAGCCAACCGTGGCCCAGCTGAAGAGAGAAGTGGACGCTCTGTCTCAGACCTCAAACTCTGTTTACAGATATGTGACAGACATGACTACAGAGGTCACGGAGAGGCAGAAAATCAGTGATGGTATGGGCACAGTAACATTTGTTGAGTCTTGGCCAAGCCTTGGCCTAAAGTATGCAGTGCAAAATGAACAGATCCCAAAACAATAATTCTTGTTTAGAAACAACTCATTTAGAAACTATTGAATTGTAATACAGTTTTTTATGTCATATTTTTAGATTGGTTCAAAATGAATCAACAGCAGCTCCAATAATTTGTGCATTGCATTGCTGAGACTGTATACAGGATTTTGACATAGGATAGCCAGTGATGTGCGGTTGCTCATTATTTAATTGACAGTTTTCATTCATTTCATCAGACATGGCTCACTGCAGATACATTTTAATTTGATTTCCTTTTTGCTAATAAATATGCTTCATTTACATCTCATATGAACTTAGAGGGCAAAGCAAATGTCAAACACATATAAAAATCAAATAATTAGTGTCATTAATTGTACTACTAGAAAAAATAGACTAACGAATCCCCATGGCTCTGGAAATCTGAAGCACTAAATGCACAATTTGTATTGTTTCCTGATGCCTATTCATTGATAGGTTATTCATGAGGATTCAGGACATTTTGGGCCAAGCTGCTGCATATTCTATATACATGTTTAATTTTATATGTTTTCCTAGCTAGTATTAAGAGCAAATCATGTATTTTGTGACCTGTATCCCCTTAGGTAATGGCCAACTGGTTAGCCAATACACAGATGACCTGGAGGTTCAGCATGCCTATGTAAAGGAGGCTATAGATGTCACCTTTCCTCAGAACATTAAGATCCTACAGGGTGTCCTGGAGAAGATTAGGGACAAGATCCAGCGCATTGAGAAGGCAATCATCGCCCAGAGGGACAAGTGTGCAGAACCGTGCAAAGTCTCATGCCCAATTCCTGTGGTTTCTGGGAAAGACTGTGAGGACATCTTCCGGAAGGGAGGAGAAGCATCTCAGATGTACCTCGTGCGGCCAGAGCCCTCACAAACACCTTACAAGGTCTACTGTGACCAGACAACCCAAGATGGAGGTATGTGTGCTTTCATGTTCTTTGTCTTTCTGTCCATTCATTCACAGTACCCCCTGAAACGAAAGGTAGCAAAAGGGCTCTTTGGAGCGATGCCTTAGGAAGCTTTCTTAGGGAACCAAAGGTGATTTTAGCATATAACTTTTGATCATCTCTTTTTTTTCTCAGGCTGGCTGCTTGTCCAAAGCCGTTTGGATGGTAGCGTGGACTTTGGCAGGCGTTGGGATGACTACAAGAGAGGTTTCGGAAATATTGCCTTTGACGTTGGGAAAGGTTACTGCGAAACTCCTGGTAAGACAATGCTTATGCGTTATAACAAATCATTTATTTGTTTAGCCTTTTTGTTTTGATACATTCCTGTTAGTGTTTGTTTTATTACACATCACAATTTTTTACTGTAACCATGTCCGTTTGACAACTTAGGTGAGTACTGGCTGGGTAATGACCGTATCAGTCACCTGACCAAGACAGGCCCGACTGAAATCCTGATTGAAATGCAAGACTGGACAGGTGCTAAGGTTTATGCCCGATACCAGCAGTTCACTGTGCAAGGGGAGCCTTCAAACTATATCTTGGCAGTGGACAAGTACTCAGGCACAGCTGGAAACACATTCCTAGAAGGAGCGAAGGCACTGTTTGGTGAAAACCGCACCATGACCATCCACAACGGCATGATGTTTAGCACATATGACAGAGACAATGACAGATGGTGAGTACAGGGAAATCATTGGTTATGCTACAGCTGTGTCAGTTGTGTGTAGGTCGCATGTAATGATGAATACTGATGTATGTACTCTTCTACATGTATAGGGTACCTGGCGATCCTTCTAAACAATGTTCAAAAGAAGATGGTGGTGGATGGTGGTACAATCAGTGCCACTCAGCCAATCCCAATGGCCGATACTACTGGGGTGGTGCCTACACAAAGTACATGGCAAAACATGGAACAGATGACGGTGTTGTATGGATGAACTGGAAGGGCTCATGGTACTCACTTAAGGCCATCAGCATGAAGATCAGACCTTTCTTTACAGATTGATAAAGTCCTGTTGTTTGTAAATAACTGAAATGAGACTCTAGCTTGTCCTAAAGTTTTGTCTTTCATCACAGTGCTACTCATGGTCAAATCTGAGGATAATAATAAAGCACAATTATAAGAAGAAGAAAAAGACATTGTGGAAATAAAATTATAAAACAAAACCACCAAACAACTTTGTTTGGCTCCTCTTTGAAAGTGTAAAAAGAAGCTGCTTATGGGAAAAATGTTGTGTATTATGAGTACAGTGTATTGTTTGAATATGATGTAATCTCAACATCCTGTACGAAACCTGAAGGACAAATGTGGTCTATGAAGTTCTCATTAAAGTTAACCTACAATGATATCTTGTCTTCAGTTGTATTTCATTATTGCACACAGGTACTTTTCTCAAAATCAACCAGAATTTGCAATATTATGACCTATAATTGTTTTTGTCTTGTTCAGTGCAGTTTTTTACTCTAGCTTCTAAATAAACAAAATAACATCACTTTGGAGCCGCATGTTGCTGACCCCTGCTATAGAGAATATTTGGTCTCACATTAAACACAGTCTAGGTCTGCAGTGTATTTAAACTGTCTCAAGTCATCAATGCTGAGTAGAACAATACTGACTAAAAGGCTGTCTGCAAGTTTACCCACAAGACATCAACATTTAAAAAAAAGGGAACATTTATCCAATACTAAGTTGCTTTATCTATTTGTTTAATGGTTTGTTGCTCTAAACATTAAAAAAACGTTTTGCCAATATTGGCTCGGCCCATTTTTTAAACAGGACTGTACATGAACATAACAAGCAGCAGTGCAATGAGGCTTGTGCTCATGCTGCTTAGGCTAAGTGAGAGTGAACATCTCACCGTTCTGGCTAGATCTGTCTATACACTGACCAGCCACTTCATTAAGTACACCTACCTGGTGTCTACATTCTTTGTTTTATCAGGTCCTCTTACCAAATATGTGCACTTTGTAGTTCTACAACTGCAGACTGTAGTCCATCTGCTTCTCTGCATACTCTTTTATCCCTTTTTCACCCTGTTCTTTAATGGTCAGGACCCTCACAGAACTGCCACAGAGCAGGTATTATTAGGGTGGTGGATAATTATCAGCACTGCACGGTGGCTTGTCAGTGTGTGTTGTGCTGGAATGAGTGGATCAGGCACAGCAGTGCTGTTGGAGTTTTTAAACACTTTGTCCACTCACTGCCCACTCTGTTAGACATATCTACCTTGTTGGTAGACCTTTTAGATGTAAAGTCAGAGATGGTAGCTCATCTGTTGCTGCACAGTTTGTGTTAGCCATTCTCTAGTCCATGGCTGCCCACTCCTGATGCTGGAGATCTACCACCCTGCAGAGTTTAGCTTCAGCTCTTATCTGTCACACCTGATCCAGGTAATGAAGGCCTTTTAGTGTGTTGGATCTGAACTCTCCAGGACCAGGATTGAGGACCCCTGCTCCAGTTCTTCATCAGTGGTCACAAGATTCTGTTGGCTGGATATGTTTGGTTGGTGGACTATTTTCTGTCCAGCAGTTACACTGAGGTGTTTTTGTAATGGGAGAGAAGAATATTAAGCACAGAAAAGGCAAATGAACATCAAACAAAAGAAATAGACCTTTTTGGGGCATGAACACCACACAGGTGCAATTCTGCAGATCATAAAAATTGCTAAACATTAGTACAAATATATGTAACTACATTATAAAATGTAAAGATGTCAACACATCTGTTTTTTTTTTACTTTTAAGTTACACATATGGCTCTTGAATACCTTCACTGAGCTTCACACATGAAACATATTCTGTGCCTCATGTGTTTGAGCAAGTACAACTGACTGAGTCCTACACTTTTACAGATAATACATCTGTAAAATCAATACTAAGAACCACTTTCTGGCAGAAATAATACAAGACATTATCACTCATTTCATATAGCGTTACTTTATTTTAGTTCAGTAGTGATCACAGTGGTGAATTGTGACATCCTATTAGTACTGACATTACAAATTAGGTTGATTGAACTACCATTCAAAAGTTTAGAATCACTGTTTTTCTTGATATACAGTTGTATGCACCCCTGGTCAAACTAAAGTTTTGAGAGTTTTCCAAGTGAAAATAAGTTAACATATCCTGTACAGTGAACACATAAATATGCATTTTCTGCAGATTTTAGAGCACAATTTCTATTTATTTAACATATTGAGAAAATAGGCAAAATTTCATGTTCTTTAATCCCCAACATGTTAAATTCAGCAAATAAACAGTAATTATTCATCAAGATGTGCAGAAGTGTGTTCTCTTGACAAAACATACTACTAATACAAGGTGCTTCTGTTATTTAAGCACAAAGGAAACAATCAAATATGAAAACAATGGCATTGCTGTGTTGATGGCCATATAGTTATCATGATGAGCATTGTACTGAATGCATACAGTGTTGTGTATCTATTATATTTATGGATAAATATGACTGTTTTGAACACCCCACATGATTTTTGTCTTCTTTTTCCCAATTTTCACCCGAACAAGGCTAAATTGCTTCTAGCCTTGGTGCAAGTAAAGTCCAGTGAAAATGCAAATGCCTTTATGATGTTGCTTCTCCATCTGAATTTCAGATATCCTGTAAAAGCTCATCCATGACCACTTGGTTTTGCTCAGTGTCCTCAAACTTTGTCAGGAGCTTGGCGTGCACCAGGGGGATTTTTCGATATGCAAGAGACATGGGAGGTCGAACAACAGACTGCAGTTTGACCTTTTTGTCCGCGGTAAATGTTTTTTGGCTCATGGAGAGCAAGTCAAATCTGGCCATGCTGTCCTCCATGGCTTTGAAAGCTTCGTGATCAATGGTGTGATCAAAGGTTTGCTTGCATGACCCTTTGCATGCACGTAGTTTAATGTCAATGTCCACCTAAAGCCCAAACCGAAGACACAAACAAGTCAAATCAAACTGAAAGTTGAATTTTAACTTTGACTAAACAGAGAAGAGCCTGACATGGACAGTTTTTGCTACACATTGGTCCAAATTTATGTAACTACATTATCAGCAATTTTAACTTATATTAACGTATGTTAATGATTTAAGCTACACATATGGCTCCCGTAAAGTAACGGGTTGGCCAAAAATCTGATTTAAACAAATTTGCCCCTTACTTCAAATCAATAAGCCAAGCCATGCAGATAACAGTGTGTCATACAGTGCCATCATTTAACAACTTCACACATTTTCAAGTGTGTGGTTATCTAGAACACTAAACCAAAGGACTAAAGAAGAAAACTTCATTTTTGGACCAATATTCTTTGGCCACAACACCATACCACCAAAAAAGTTCTATATTGCACCAAAAAGGGTTCTGCTATTGTACCAAGTTTGACATCATAACAACAGAAGAACCCTTTTTGGTGCTATAGAGGACCCTTTTCAAAAAGGTTCTGTAGGGAACCATCTATAGCACAATCTCCAACAATCTGAAGAAACCTTTTGCGATGCAAAGACCACTTTAATCATGCAGTTTTTTGATTGTTAATGGTTTTATATAGCACCATTTTCTTTACTAAAGAACCCTTAAAGAACTATCATTTTAAAGAGTGTATATACCATTTCACCATGCAAAGAACAATTTAAGCAGGAAATGGTTTTATCTAGAACTCTATGATTCAAAATAGAACCATCACCTTTACTAAAGAACCCTTGAAGAACCATCTTTTCTAAGTGTGCACCTCCTCCCCCCTTTCAGGAATGTGTAGATTAGATTTTAGGTTGAGCAGCTTTATTAAGAGCCGTTTGAAACATACAGAAAATTTTAGACCCGTTGCCTTTAAATTGGGCTCATACCTCAAGACGGCGCATCTCAGTTATCTGATCCAAGATCTGACTGTGGTACCTCTGAAGATCACTGGAGAGCTTGGAGGACTTCTTCCATAACAGCGTCAGGTTCCTGTAAAGTCTCTCAGCAACCTCAGCGTACCTCAGTTCTTCCACTGCAAACAGAATTAGCTTTGATTGAGACTTTAACAAAACCTTCAGAATTCATTAAAAGTAGCTGTACTGATAATGTTTATGGTGGGTTTCCTGGACAGGGTTCAAGACTGGTGCTAGGCTTAATCCTGGTAAAACTGACCCATAATGTAGTTTTTGTACATTGTATGCAGTTTTACTTCAATTAAAAGTCATTCAAATTAATATGAAAATATTTACACACTGTATGTTTTGATGATAATCTTCCTTTGTGCTTCGTAGAACTGTGCACTTTTAAGCATCGTAGGTAAAGTTGTGCTCTTGCATTGGTGAATCTTTTCACAGATTTTGCTGAGGCGAGCATAAATGTCGTCCTCCTCCTTATCAATGAGACCCTGTAGTCGACAGCCTGATGGGCATTTATTCTCCTGCAGACAAAGAGCATGGAAATGTTGTAGACGCCAGAGAATTTTAGACAGTACCAGTCAGAACAGAACTTTTAAAAATGCTTATTTTTACCTATAAACTACTTCACAAGGAGATAATACAATATTTAATGGCACTTTCTTCAATATAATTCATACTTTATACCATTTTCAGTAATTTTCTGGTTTTGCCTCTTAAATACTAGTGAGTTTAATATGAACAAATGGTCAACTAATCTTAAACCAGCACTTTTTACTGTCAGACACTTGATAAATATGGACCCTGATCTTTTTAGGATATTACTGTTCAAACTCACCTCCTCCTCATCAGTACACATCGGGTATTTGCTCACTGGACACTGTTCAAATCTTCTTTGGTGACCAAAGGTACTGGGTCGTTTTTGGGAATTAACTGACTGCTTAGATTCACACACTGAAACACACAAAACACAAAATTTCACGCTAAGTAGCATTTTGAACATGATCTACAAATGGATACATTTATTCAGAGCATATATATATATATATATATATATATATATATATAGATATATGTATATATGCATTTAAGGTAGATTCAGTTTACTGTTATGAATTCATCTCAAGGGTCGATCGAATAAACTGCCAAGACACTAATGATAAGTGTTGTTTTTGGAGGAGCTTATCTAGATTATATGAGAGATTAACTGTTATTAAAATTGTATTAAAGGTGTTTTGCCTTAGCTTAACATACAAAACAAAATGTGCGGATAGAACTGAAGGCTTTGTCATTGTGGCGGTGGAATATCTGGTGGGAGATGTCTGGTAGGACTTGATGGTCATCTGAAGTTTTTTTTTATTTGTTTATTCACGTGTTCAGTAATACCACATTGTGAAACTGTAGTGGTAAGAGGCTGTGGTAGTACAAAAATGTATGTATATACAGGTTAAGATTGATGTAAGAATATATAGATGGATGTTGTCAAATAAAGAAAGGAAGCAGAGTGAAGTGAACACATTTTTTATTGAAAACATGAGGTCATTTGGTTGTGTAACATTTTACATTGTGACATTGTGCTTTAAAATACATAACATCAAGCTGGAAAAGTCCCAAGAAGTGACTTCTACCTGTCCTCTTTTCTTCCCTCATTCTTTGGGAGGTCAGAGCGGTCTAATCATCATTCTAACCACTTGAAGGGAATAATCGGCTGGTTTGAAAGGCAGCCACACAATGCCATTCTCTATCTCATAGGGGACTTTGCTACCAGGATCATACTGCCCCCCCTTATAGTATATCCCATTAAGGTTGGCTGATTGGCAGTTATTGTACCACCAGCCACCTCCATACATCTCTGCACAGTTCTCCTCCCACTTGTCATTGTCCCTGTCAAAGGTACTGAACTTCATACCAGCATGTGAAAGGAAGGAACCCATGTTAGAATGTCCCTGCACAAGTGCGTCCCCTGCATCCCCTGTATAAGATGATACACTTAGACGGAAACCCTCTGCTTCCGGGCCCACTTTGATGCTGTATTCGGCATAAGCTTCCTTGCCTTCCCAGTCCTGCAGCTCCACTCTCAGTAGACACTCTGTCTGAGTGAGGAGATGCAGGACATGGTTCCCGATCCAAAACTCACCCCTCCCTTGCCTGTCTACCTTGCCAAAGCCAACCCGGTACTCCTCCCAAGTGCGATTGAAGTTAACTGACCCGTCCTCCCTCTGCTGGACCAGAACCCAGCCCCCCAGACCTGTGACCTGGTCACAGTAAACCTCCACTACCTCGTCCAAACCAGCTGGCTTTAATTTGAACAGGCCGCTCTGACCACCCGTGGCATGGTTCTGCAGGATATCAACGCAATCTGAAAGAAGATTACAAACCTGCGGATTAGCGCAAAGCTGCACTCCAAACTTGCTCCAATGTTAATATTCCCTCAAATGTAAGAACCTGCACTCTTCCTTCATTAACAGCTTATGACTACACCCAATATCTTTTTCAAATTTTACAGAACTTTTAGGACAGAATATATGTATACAAACATTGCAGACCAAACTTTTTTTTTTTCAATGATTGCATTTTTGTAATTGAAAAGTTACTCTAGCCAATGCTTTCTTGTTTGACTACTATCTAAACCACTGTTTTCTTTTATAAATGGTTCACTTATATGAATGCTGGTAGAGGTGAAAGAGTGTCACTCAAATGTACCTCCGCCAACATAACCAGACTTGCGCTCGTCTCTGGGCTTCACACTCCGCGCTTGAATGTCGGGAACATCGTCTTCCACATCACCGCGAATGAATGCCCCAAGATCATCCCCAAAATCAAGCGGCGAGAAGGTGGACAAGATGGACTTTGAGGTGAAACCCTTGCTTCCACCAGTCAAGATGGTTTTGGAAGAGGAGAAGGATGAGGAAGAAGAGGAGGATGAGGAGAACTTACGGTCCTGGGTGCCAGTGCCCAGGTCCTTAAAGAAGTCTCCGCCAAACCCTCCCAGGTCAGCTTCACCACGGCTAAATGTAGTGATGGACTTCGAATCTCCATCACTCACTTTCACAGCGAAGCTGTCACCGGTCAGGTCTTTACCCTCCTTGGCTGACGTGAAAAGTTGTCTGTCAGAAATACCTAGTGTTTGAAGGGTTTCACACCCGGGCCCAGTGCTCACTGTTTCATACTTCTCCTGAACACCGTCTTTAGTGTGGGTCACCACTTTGCGCACCGTCTTGGTGCAGGTGACATGTGAAGTGGAGGGCGCAACTGGGCCTGTACCTGTAGGGACTTTGCTGACGGTTGCAGCCGATTCTGCGGTGGAACCCTCAGCCTCCAGAGAGAGCTTCAACTGACCCACATCGGTAAATAGGGGCTTCCTCTGCTCGGCTCGCTCTGCGCCAGGCACTCCAGCCTTGTAGACGGAGGGCAGGACTACATCCTTCATCGGCCTGCTCTTCATGACCCTCAGGGAACTAACGGTCTCTACACTTTGAACACGCACAGTGTCCAGGCGTTCCATCTGCTTGTCCAGTGCCACGTAACTCTCCTTGTCCACAGAGAATTCAGCATAGCTTGCACATGAGCCCTTGCAACTGCGCAGCTTGATGTCAATGTCAACCTGTACGAAGAATGAAGCATAACATGAACATTTTGACCTTTATAAATAAGGCTTTCCTGTTTCAGTCTCCTAAAGATAATTTGTGCAATATATTCCACAATTAAGGAAAGTATGAAATCATCAAGTTAAATGAACATTAATGGTTTAGGACCCTGCTAAATCACGGCAAGGACCACAACGTCTACAGACAAGAAGCCAGAATCACGAATTATCGTTACTTTTTTAATAATAAACCCCTAATCCACAAAGATGGAAATGTAGTAGAGAATAATTTTCAACACAGTGACTGCTATGAACTATTCTTTCTCCAAATTGGAATAAAATTGGGCTGATTATTTAAAGATTTTACAGATTTTCCATGAATTCTACCCTTCATTGTACTCGTCTCACCTCCAGGCGCTGCATGGCGATGACCTGGTTTTTCACTTGAGACTTCAAAGCTTCCAGCACCCTGAGCTGACGGTCGATTTTAATCTTCATCTCAACAATCCTCTGCCTCAGCTGCTCGGCCAAGTCCACATACCTGTTATCGTTACCTGAAAAGGAAGGACACAAGGAAATCTTTGACTGGCTTGTCTTTGCAGCACAGTCTTTCAGTTGAGCTTCTATTTAATTTTCTAAACTTAAAAATATTTTAAGTAAGATTTAAACCCGCTATGTTATTCATTAAATCAATTGCTTTTCTAGGCAGGCAAGAGATAACATACATACCTGCACTGGAGAGAAGACGCTCTCTTAAGTAGGTGTAGGTATCCTTGGAGACCTGGTCAGCAGATCGGTGCATTCTTCTTCCGTCTTCTAGTAGCTTCTGGATTTTCTCAATCTTTTTGAGGAACCCAAGGTCGGTTTTATCCAGGAGGCCTTGAATCCGGCAGCCAGAAGGACATTTTCTACCCTAAGATGAGCATGAAGCAAAAAAGAGACTTGAAAATGACTTCAGATACACTTGTTTTTCAATCTGAAAGCAAGTAGTAAGGAGATCAGTTCTTTTATGCTATTTTTCATAAAAGCCAGGAGAGTGATCACAGCCCATACCCAGTCATCGTCAGTGCAGAAAGGCCATTCCTTTTCTGAAGCACATTTCTCTGTCTTGTAACCGTGCTCGATGGGACGGGCACCTCTGGGGTTAAGAACCTGCGGTGTTTCCTCCTGGGACTGCAAGACAGAAAGCTCAATTCAAGAAAGTATGTCTGGACATAGTGACTGCACTGAGTAATAAGAATAATTGCTTCTTGTTTCTGGTTACTTTCAGATTTATCTAATAAGCTTTTAGATTTATAAACTGAAAAGAAAGCTAGCATACACAGTATTCACTTACCAAGGCGGTGGAAACAACAACACACAGGTAGAAAAGCGAGTGCTGAAGCTTCATCTTTGCTTTCTCTCTGTGGACTACTGACTGTCCCCACACACAGCACATCCCATATGAATCCTTCTGATTGATCAACACCCTGACTCATTATTGACTAATCACAGTCATCAGGCTCGCAACGTCCACATGTGGTGAATGATTGACAAGCATGCATAAGATTTTGTGTATCTTACCAAAGGGGGAGGAGAGTACTACCTACACTGATTGAACTTTGTAGAGGTGGCCATTACCAGAAAAAAAAGTGCATGGGAGGGATTTTGACCCGAAGATTATGTTCTGCTCTGGTAAAATGCATCACACAACAAACAATCTATTATGCAACCGGTGGTCCTAGAATACGGGAAGCAATGCTGCATGTTACCATAGATCTGACACATTGTGTGTATTGCTTAAGGGGCGAGAGAACAGAGAGAGAGCAACGACCTCTCGGGTGTTGATGAGTGAACAATACATGTCTACCATGCTTACATTTTACTTCTTTTTCAATGTGTATATTATCAGCAGTTTGAGTGAAAAGTAGAATATTTGAAATTTAAACTATAATTTTGGAATTTAGTATTTCCTCAAGTTCTTCTTTTGCTTTAATGATTTTTTTGAACAAATGAAGATGGTCAGTGTCACAAATTTGCTTCAGTTTGAATAGCGACCTAGAAATAGTACACAATCTTTAGTGTTTCTTCTTCATTTTTAATTGTCACAACTTTTCTTTGTTCAAAATTTTTCAAAATGTGAAAACTTTTTGTTGTTTATTTTCCCGGTTTAAAAGAAAAAAGTTTTTAGTGTGGGCTCCAGACTTTTGGACCCCACTGTTTATATGGACCCATGCTATTCTGACAATTCCACTTGATAAATACTGTTACAAATGAACAATATCATAACTTGAAGAGAATGTACAAGCAGAAACCTTTAGACAGATTCCTAATACTTTATTAGATTATATCACATGTGCTATTTTAGTTTTTCTGAGCTACTGACCATTTTTGATAGTTTTCTGATACATTGGCTGTTTTTCAAACTCTACACACAATTGACAGTCCATTCAATGCTTTCTATCTCTCCA